GTCAGTCCACTGGTGGAATTCCCCACACTGCCGTCCAGACTGGATCTTCCAGACACTCTGACTGCAGACTACCCCCGCCAATCACAATCATTTGTCTCAGAGGACCAGCAGAGCCAGACCATCAACTGGGATTGGGAGGGATTACTGCCATAATCCTTACACAGGGAATAATCCCGCAGTGCCCAAATCCAAGTAAAATCCCACAGGAGGCTCATTTGCAGGTCTGCAGCCATACAGTTTTACCAGTGGGGGGCTGTTGCTATGTTCATGCTGAATTTGTCCCTATTAGCTTTGCTTGTAAACAACCAGTAAACAGCACCACAATGATGTCTGCTTTTTCTAATTAATGAAGGAGAAGCTCTGAGCCGAGGTACGCAACACTGACAGCAGTGCAAACCACATGCTAAATAATTAAAATGTCTGCTTGGATTTTATGCCAAACCACTATTTTAAACAATGGCTAAGCCTGAAAGACATTAAGGAAAATAAGGTTGAACAGATTTATTAAACGTGGAAGGAAAGGTCAGATAGCCAGTAAGCGTTGGATTTGTGATGATAAAGAGCCAGAGCTAAAGCAGGGTGGTGAAGCGTAGTGCAAACGACCCAAAGGGCAACTGCAAAGCTGAGATAAAATGAAAGGATTGGCAGCTCATAGACACAGAAGCAAAGTAAAAAATTGCCGTGGGCCTTTTGTGTACCAGCTATTTCTTTTTTGTCTGTGATGTCTGGGGGCAACAGTTTAACTGGCTGATAGTTGCGAGAGTGACAGGACAGGTGAAGATATATGTCACTGTGGTTGACATTCTTTGAAAAGACCTACACATACCATACCATACAATTGAGCTCTGCAGCTAAGTCTGAGGGGACAGATGAGGAATAGACCACTTGGAGATATTTTAGCCTGGTGAGGTCGGAGGGAGGAGGGAAGACGAGGGCTGCGCTCTTTGTCTGCAGGCAGATGGCTTCTTGTCTCTTAAAGAAGAGCTTGGAAGAAAGGACACAAAAGGTGGTCACACAACGAGCTCTGCCTTCTTTTCAGTGGCTCGGCTCTTTTATTCCCGCTAAGGCTTTGTTAGAGCACAGCTAAGTGACTATTTGGACTCATGGGCAAACAGCACAGTGGGCACTGACACAGTCAGACAGCAGCTAAACAAAACAGCCACAACAACATCTCTAACAAACAGAAAAATAGACATACTGTGAAGGGTATAGCAGTCAAAGATGTCGACCATTATTCAAAACTGGAAGAAATTGCCACTTGTGTCTTCAATGGGAACACTGAAAATGTATCTATTTGTCTGTGTCTGAGGCTGAAAATAAATAACCACTTCTTAAAGTCGGAAAATGTAGCAATGCTGTGTGAGGAGCATTTTTACATTTTACAACTAAAAATGGCCTGTTTTTGCATATTTTTAAAGCGTGAAACTCTTGGGAGAGAACAGGTAATTATCCTAACAAACAACATGACAATTTCCATGGAAATCTTTCCAGGGCATGCGAGCAGACCAGCCCATTGAGAGCCCCACTGAGATTAAAACCAGGGCGGTGAGTATCAGGAAGAATGTGGCAGAGGTTCCGGCCACTGAGAAAATTCCTGCACATGCAAAAAAAAGGAAACTCAGGGAGGTTGGTATACAGGTGGAGTTAAGTACCCCCCTTTCACCTTCTGGGAGCATTTTAATTACACAAGAGTTGCAGTCACGGTAATATGGTGGTATCAATCTGACACCAGGTAAATACACATAAATGAATGTCTATACAGTGAGGCTACTGTGGCTGTTAAGCCTCGGGGCGTGGTTGTGTAATTGGTAAACATGAAGTTTAAAAAGCAACTACAGATTTGAGCCATCAGGCCTGTTCTCTGCTTCTCGGACACGTAATATTCAAGCAGAGAGAAAAACATTTTTCTCCCTTCTCGCACTTTTGGAAGTGACTGGCAGGTGGTTTTCAAATGCTGTCTGACAAAGCAGGCCGTCATCACAGCTGTCACTGACTCAGACCCTCGTGTAGAAAACTGGTGAAGGAATATGAAATCAGTTTTACAAAAGAGGCAAAGACTGAACTGACAATGTGACATTTAGCTCGAGACGTGCTCCAAATTTACTTGCCAAAATGGAGGTTAATTGGAGTCTGCAGTCCTCAAAATTTCAAACATCATAGGTGCAAATCAAACAGAGTGCTTGACACTGTTCAATAAAGCACTGTGCGCTAAGCAAACAGAGGTTAGCCTGCGTGTCTTGGAGCACTTATGAAGGCAGTTCTCATGCCCCAAGGGTTTCATAGAGGTTGGTAGTGGCATGTGTGAAACCTTATACTGTAAGAAACAACTGTAAGTCAATGAACTACTGACTGACCAATGGCCATTACGTAAAAAATGCCGCATTAATGGCCCAGGTCTCAAGTTACAAAAACAAAACGGAAGACTGATGGTATTAATACTGCAACTGATGCTCCAGCTGACAGGGCTGTCATGTGTCTGTCATTGACTGACTGTCAAGCTGACATCAAGTACAGGCTGACATTTTAAAGACAAAGAACCCCCAAAGCAATAACTCTGATATTTAAGCTGAGAGACACATAAAAGATGCAGCTCATAAAATATATACTCTCTGAAGAAGAAAAGACCAAGAAATCATTAGTATCTGTTATTAAAAGCAGCTTGGTGTGAAGCACTTTTTGTTCCCAAGTCCAAAAGGAGAAGGAAACAAGATAAGATTGCCACCTAGTGGAAGGATAGTTAGAATTCTTCTCTAGTAAGGAAACAGACATCCCTCATTCCTCACTGATACAGTAAATCATTCACTGACTTTAATCCAACAACTGCCCACAAGTGCCAATGAATACAATGTGCAATTTGTCTCACCCAAGATCAGTGTGTCCGATACACATGGCAGGCAGAGCAAAGTCTCAGTCCCCTTGGTCATCATTACCTTTCAGAGGACGCAACAAAGCATGGCAGCAGTGAACACACCCAGGGGCTACAGGGATAATGCACGTCTCACTCATAGGACAAATTGTCCTCTCAGAAGCACTCTCATCCTACTGGAAATGTTCAACAGGGTGGAAGTAGATCAAAATCATGGTACTATACAGTGTCTGTCACTGGGCCCTGGGGAAATGTAGCAGACAATTTACATGTACTGAAACAACTGAAAGGTTTTTTTTCTATAAATGGGATGTATTGCTTCAGAAACACCTAATCATAAAATAATTTTATTGTGACTATTAGGGCTGTAGTTAACTGAAGTCTGTGGATGATTAAATTAAAAGAGCTAAAGACAAATTGAAAACAGTTTTCAAGCCTGGTTCTCTTACATTCTAGTTTAACACTCAAGTTTGGTTTCAATTAAATATTTTTATAGTAATATGGAGCACTATGGAGCTATATTGAATAACTATCCTCACTGTTATGAGTAAGCTTTCTTTTAGCAGGGTTCCTTCCCCATGGATGATAGATAGGGCTGCAAATAGCCAATTTTCTTTTATTATCAATTAATCTATTATTCATTCTAAAATGTCAAATAATAATATCCCATCACAATTTTACCAGAGCCCAAGTCTTCAGTTTGCTTGCCAAACCAAATCTCAAAGATATTAAATTTAAAGCAATCGTTTGACATTTTGGAAAATACACTTATTCGCTTTCTTGCTGAGAGTTACAGTAGATGACAGAATCGATACCACTCTTATAGCAGCTTGCCTGGCAACCACAAGGTGACAAAAAAAAACAGCAAATAACTCAGCATGAGACCTATAATGTGACAATATGTAATTTCTTTTTGTTTTGTTACCTGAAACTCTCTGCAAAAAATTAAATAAGCATTTTCCGAAGAAAATGTTGAACCAATCCTTTAAAATTATATAAAAGAGCAGCTAATTTGAGAATGTTTCAGCCACATAAACTATTACGCAATTATAGCTGACATGTAATTTTCTGTCAACCTGTTTATGGATTCATTGACTCATCGCTTCATCTCCAGATAGAGATTGTTGAACTTTGTGCCTTTCAAACGCCTCTTTACTCAACACCACCCACAGTGCAAAAAAAAAGTACAGTATGCTGAAAGTAAACTTGGAACGCATGAATGTTTATACTGTACACTCCTCTGCTCTGGTAACATGAACAGTCATAAAACTCACCCTATCATCTTTCTGGAAGGTGACCCTGCGTGGTTCTGTGCGTCCACGACTCAGCCTGTGCACCATCTTGTCTTTGAGCAGCGAGGTGTAACCAAGATGCTCATAGATGGGGTTAGTGGTCATTTTGGCGATGTACTCTGCTGCCTTAGTCTCTATGTAGAGAGTGATGAGCGCGTCAGTCACAAGGTCGTGGACCGACTCGAACCTCTTCTCCCCGACAAAGTGCTTCCCATCATAGAACAATCTGTAGTTGAGGGTCTGGTGCCCAAACCTGGGTTGAGATACAAGGATGTGGTTGAAAAGTGGATGGATACATGAAAGTGAACAAACTGAGCGAAAACTGGGTGCTGATAGGGCCCAACATTTCAGAGATTCTGTGCTGAATACTGATGGTGTTGGTACCTTAAGGCCAAGGTGTGTGTCCCTGGCTGTCTTTGGCTCTCCCTGATGAGGTAAGCACCCTCTGCTCCCGCCAGCAGCTCATCTGCATATTCTCGAGGGATCATGCCATGAAATCTATAAAAAAAAAAAGTATGCAGTAGTTATAACTCTTCCTCCAATGTCATTTTAACCTCAAATACTCAGATTTACACTTTTACACTTATTCACAAAATCCACCCACTTAAACCCTAACCACATCTAATGCAAGGAAGTAATATAAATAAACAAAAACATTCTCTGCAGAGTAATATTTGAAAAAAGGCATGAAAACAATGACAGTTATCAAGTTACACTCACTCTCTGCCGTAGTATTTCGGTCTGCTCTCCATCTGTAAACCAGAGGAAGACATATTGGCTGGAGCACTATGATATAAAAGCTCAATTAAATGGCTTTGCGAATTGTTCTTGTGAAAGATAAAGGACTCTACATCACAGGACAGATTATCTCCATCTGTGCCCCCGCGTCTATTCGTAGCTACCGAACCATAAAGCCAAATCACACAGTGTGGAGATGAATTAGAGGCAGTGCCAGAAAACAGCTGGTGATAGATGGCCAGCTGCAAATAATTAATATTTAGTGTGTTACTGTGTCAAACAGAGGTGTGTGTCTGCATTCGAATCTTGAGAAGGATATGGCTAAAAAAAACATTTTTAACTTAACTACATGGCATTAATATCAAACATTAGCATGAAGCCTACGAGCCTACAACCCTCTCTTTGCTCAGAATAGAGTGGCAAGTCTCAAAATAGGATGAGACGTACATCATTTCTGGTAGCTGGTACAATAGAAGATTGACAGTTCTCTGAGTGAAGGCAGTAACAAGTAGAGTAACTTGTTCCATTAACGTATTCATATAACTGAGGGAGTCTATGCTGTGCTCTATGCTTAGTGTTCCTGCTTCTGGCATTTGATTATTATTGTAGCTGTTGTTGCACATACAACAATACTCAGGTGGCCATATGAGCATGTTTTTAGCTTGACCCTCCCTACACCTGCTGAATGAATAAACAAACCACTTGCAATGCCAATCACTAGTCTTTGTTAAAAAAATTACCATTTTTTTCCCCGAACTATTAACCAAAATACATTCCTAAATAGATCTAAGAAAAAGAATAAATCATGCAGCTGAAGAACAATGCTTAGTTTTCTAACTCTAGTACCATGAGTTCAAAAAGTTCCAAACTCATGAGGTGTGAGAGTTTCAAGCAGCAGCGAGTCACTCTCCATAGGTTACCAATTGGTCTGGCTTCCAGCTGCCAGGCTCAATCATTTGCACAGTGAATGTTTTCCACAGAGAAAACGGAGTTTGAAGAACTGTAGTGTGGCTGCAGTCTAGAAGACTGTTTTTTTAAGCAAAGGGGAAAAAAAAAACTTGCGTTTAAAAGAAATAAACAGGGCCAGTAGAGAGTTGTTTGCTAAGGTGCCTAACCACATGTAAAAGAAAGAAAGAAAGGAAGAAAGGAAGAAATAAGTTATTTTGAGGAGCACAGTGAATGGGAACTTTAGTATGAAATAATTTTATAATTTTTATAATTATGATGACGTCTTGTGCCTGTGGTTTGTGTATTTAACTTCAACCATAAACAGTTGTAATGCTAAAATAATTAGTCAATTAATCAATGAGTCGTTTGACAATACTAATAAAGGACTATGTGAATAAACTATGAATTGTTTCAGCAATTCTCAAGTGAAATACCAAACTGCTGTTTCCTGCTTACATGAATGAGTTACACAAGTCATGTTCTCTGTTGACTCTGGTATTTGTTGTCCTATTTTACAAACTAAATGGTTAATAAAATGAAATAATCATTTTAGTTCTATACAGTAGCCTATTGTACACAGATTTACAGTTTACTGACCTCCTGAGGACATGTGATCCTCTTTGGTCTCGGGGCTTCCTGCTGTAGCTGGTACACTGTTAGAAAAACACATGGATGTTAATTAAGGCCCCTCTGAGTTATGTACACAGCTCAGTGCAAGTTGTAATTACATTCATATTGTAGATAAAATACAAAATAACAACCTCAATACACACTTAAGATAAAGGAAATTAAATGCAGCTTTCATATACTGGACTCTACTGGACATTAAACATAATCTCCACTTAACAGCCTTTAGTCCAGCGTCCGACCACAGCTCAGACTCAATGCAAAGGTACCAAAGCACAAAAGAAGCCATTAGCTTATATATACGAGACCAGGCATTCAGCGGTTTACATGACAGGAGCCATATATCTGCAGTGACTTAAGACCTGTTTTGCCCTCATGTGCACTTACATGTGCACACCGCACAATATTCCTTTTCACTGCAAAACCCACACTTGTGAAAATACACACATGCTTCAAATCCAAGCTTTTGTGTATTAGATGTACTTAACGTATTTGGAGAACTCGAGGTAAATCAGTGAAGCAAAGTGAAAATGGAATTGAAGGATTTGCGGCAGGAAGAGTAATCACCACAAACACCTCAGCAGCCTCACAGAATTAGTACATTACAATTAGTGATTAAAAAGTGAGAGAAGCCAAAACACTGCTGCAGTTTATGCTATTTCCCAGAATGGGATTCCTGTCAGGGTAGAAATATTATATTACCACAACAGAAGAATCAGTAGCTGAGTCTGGTTGCTTTCTTCATATCCAATTTTTTATCCCTCATATGTCTAGTAAAGGAGTTTCTCTTTTATTTGACAAACTGCCACATTTCACATACCAGACTCTATACAAAAGTCTGGCAATAATGTCAGAATAACAGTCTGTCTCATACTGTAATATGCACTTGCTTCTAGATGTCTGGCATGCCTTGTGAGATGTGGATGAGGACTCGGGACTACAACAGTGTCATTTCTAACAAACGGTAGTACAGCAAAGAAATCGCTGTGTTAGGTTGAGCTAAGTCCTCGCAGCAGATTCTCCAGACAGGGGAAGGAAGACTCCTGACTGTGAATTTTCATGTTTTGTCAGGCTGACTTAAGCCAACCAGCAAGATCTGGACATCTTCCATTCCTGTGACACAGTGAGCTCTAAAAATACCTCAGCAAAGGACCAGTGGAGTCAGGAGAAGATGGGGCACTTCATAAAAAGAAGCATTATTAGACAATTATGCAGAATAGACATTTAATTAAAGGATAAATGTGTATAAAAAAGCTATAGATTGTAATTGGTTAGACTGTAAGGACAGTTTGTTTTCTAGCTGAAATGATTCTGCTGTGCTTTGACTAATGCATCATATATATTCTGAGGACTCAACCCATTTTCTCCCACATGGCAAAAACATTGCATAATGAGGTGGGTGTTCTGAGGACCCCATTTTAGCTGAGCCTCTTTGCAGGTAGAAAATCTTATTTTCCCCAGTGATGGTAACCTATTTTACTCAGAGATCAGGAATCTGCTGCTTTGCATTTGTGCACGCCTGAATGTGCAGTGTGGGCGAGTGTGTTTGAGTGTGTGCCTTTTGTGTGCAGTGTATCTAATTGTATCATGTACAAAAAAAAAAACAATTCTAACAAGTATAAAAAATGTCTCTTTGTTATTTATAGATCACAAATAAATGTGCTGTTATTTAAATAAACACACTAAAGGCCAAAGTCGGGTTAAAACATTGCTCATCAGCATATGAAATAAATTAATTACTCACAGTAGGACTTCCATATGGGCGGTTGGTAATCCTCAGGGTCTGTAAAACACAAAAATAAAGCAGATTTCTGTTAAGAACTCACAGTGGTGTTAGTAGACTGTGCCCTGTTTTCTCTCATTTAAACCTCCACTTCTATCCCTTTCCCAATGGACAGACTGAGCCCTTCACCACAGTTATGTCACTGCTGTTTATCTCTCCATTATAATTATGCATATGGCTTCACACTGTGCAGCTGCCTCTTGAGATGCACCAGTGAATACACTTCTAATCAGTCTCTCTGCTTCAAGGACAATCAATACAGATGTCGGCTTGTGGCGCTTAACATCGTGACGCCACACACCTGATCTATATTACCCACCGGCAGTGTCCTGAAAACACAACATCTCTAGTACAAACACACCAATCAAAATTAATGTAATGAATACAATTTAGACCTCACCTCCCACGGGATGACTTTCCTCTGGAAAATGTGGTGGCTGATTAATGATTATGGGAACACATTCCTGGAATATATGGAGTCAGAGAGGTGATGAAGTAAATGCTCTGTAGCAGCTGATAATTCACTGTAGTACCCACTGGGTAAAGTAATGACTTGTAATAAAACTTGTCACTAAATGAGTCAAAAATGTGGCTAAATTTGCTACTGTACTACAGTGCCAATAACGTAATAAAATGAGTGGCCCTCATTACGACATAAATGACACTGCATATTTTTTACTCATAATATAATAATGACCCACATCTCACACCACATTAACTCCATACAGTGTGTCGAGGAAGGCCAAGAGACGTGGCTAAAAGGTTTGGAAACAACAAATAAATTGGACCATGTCTTGAGAATTTTTATGTGAAGCTACTATTTCCAAGGTCAAGTATGAACCATCAAACTCAAATAATGTTGCTTCTGTACTATGTTACAAACAAAGCTATAATTATATTCACCTAAAGATAATATGGGCTTAGATGGGATTAGATTGCAAAAGTTTTATTAACTCAAAAAGTACACCCAACAGAAAATAATAATCATTTTAGTAATAATAACAGTTAGTTTAATTTACTGGTAATAATTTGATGCAGGTTTTGACCTGTTACAAAACATATTTTATATTAGAACGGGTATATAAATAAGGGCGGAGCGCTCATAAAAGAAAGTCAATGTAATTCCTGCATGTTCAGTGTGCCAGTATGCCTCACACAGTGAGTCAGTCATACAGTGTCACTCATGGTGGTCTATAGCTACCACATAGAATCGTACTACATGCCAAATGTACAAAATAGCTGCAATAAATTATTTATCTGCCTCTCAGATGTTCAGTATAATACCTCTTATTAAATTCCCAGCACCACTGCCGAAAGACTGTTAAGAATAATGAATCATGGTCCAGAAGATACATGTTTAAAAAATTCCTCTGCACTCATCAGCAGATCAGCGCCGCACCCCTCTGGCCAGAGGGAAAGAGATGAAACACACCTGAGAGGGTGTGAAAACCAGTGAGCACTTGTTGGATGTGGGCACCGAGGTACGGAAAGCAAAACTGTGGCACGTACTCATATAGATGGCATTATTGTTGAAACCGTATCACAAGTCCTCTGTAGATTGCTGCACTGTATGTATCTGTTTAACTTAGAGGCACTTAAAGAGTAGGCAAGAGTATTTCCTTCATGCTGCTTTCCCTGTGCTTACTGCAGCAGGGGGAAGTGACTGGAGGGTGGTTGCAACATTACCAAACACAAAAAAAGCTCATCATTGCTTCTCATCATTATAGCACAGCGACTTTCGGAAAGAGCTGAATTAATTACACAGGAGAGACGAGATAGGTGCATATGATCAAATGCTGAATAATTATGTAAATGATGAAGAAGCAGCTCAAAAGAGAAGTGGATGTTTTGAGAGTAAATGTTGTTGCTAAAGCCCCTGTCTGTCAAATACAAAAAAATAGGCATCAGGCTCCATTTGTTGGTGTGTGGCCAAGCTACCTTGGAAAATGTATTGTCCTAATACCGAAGCTTTGTCACTGTGTATTGCACTGGCAACAGTCTGAAAGATTTATTCCACTGCGGCTTGTTTAAAGAATGTGATTTCATCTGGTTGGCTGCCAAGTATTTTCTTTTCAATCTGATTCTTTTTAATGACGAATGGCATTTCAGTCTGGAATTCTGCAGCAGCTTCGGCTCAGAAAAAGGGAGCTCTTAAGGGTCAATTCTGATGCAAACGCTGGCACACACTCACACAAACATACACACACAAATACATTAGGCTACACTGTACATACACACTCTCAAGCAAACACACAAATATACGCAAGCACACACTTGCACATAAACACACCCAGAAATTGGAACATCAAAAAGACTTTGTAAGTAGCTCAGAGTTTGTGCAGTGTCTGATGATCAGGGAGAATTTAAAATTCTGGAGCAGCCAGAGGCTTCTTCCCCCGAAGAAACAGCTATTAATTGTGTTGCCCTCCATTACTCACCAGTCAGAAGCATTCAATAAAATAATTACCGGCGGGTGTTTGCTTTGGTGACAAAGAGAATATGTGATGAATGAAGATCAAGCTCGCTTTTATCCCCTGAGATAACGTCTGCTCTAGAAGTCTGTGCATATGCAAAAATAAATAAATAAATAAATACAACTTCAGCACATAAAACAACAGTATTGCGGTTAAACTAGTACATGGTTGACAACGACTCAACAAGTTCAGAGCATTTCACGGCCTGTGCAGAATCATGTTCAAGATTAGTCATTCTAGTGGGAAAAGGCAGTTGCCAAGAGACAACTTAAGGTGACACAACAAATCAAATTTGACTTAAAAAGCTACATATTCAGCTGTAGCCCTACTGCAGAATACCCAGAACAAATACCAGCATAAAGAGTGTAAATTACTACTTTATTTAATGTTACATGGCTGACAATGTAACATCATGTTATTTTAGGGGGGATTCATTTGCTGCATATGGATGATGAAATAGTAGGTACAGAGGTAATATGGAGCAGATCATGTTTCACTTTCCCCAACAACAGACAGACATTGATCGCTTGATGTATATTGTAACAGTATATGCAATGTCGGTTGTGTCTGCACATTTGGCGGGCAAGCAGAAGTGCTCTCTTTCTTTACAGGCAGCCAGGTAACATAACATAGGATTGGCACTTTCTGAACCTGAAATGTTTGGCACACTGATGTACCATGGGGCCGGCATACATTTGGAGTACTAACAAACATGGACTGTGCCAAATGGAAAGGAGATTATATTTTTAAAGGCTGAAACACCAGTATAGATTGGTGGTGGTGAAATCTTCCTTTAACAAAGACACAAATCTTATTACTGGATGTTATTCAGCACTTACAATCTTCAGCTCATATATTTATTTTCTGCCAGTATGTTGGATCAAAGCAGGAAAACAAGAAGATTTATGCTGGATTTTAGTGATACAACAGCATCCTTTCTTCCCTATGCTGGCAGCTAATGTGACTTCAAGGTGCATATTTGCAAACAAATTAAATGCAGTCTTGCAAGTTGCACCACCATCACTGCACCATATATTCTGTGCTGTGTGCAATATGCTAGCAACACATCAATCTTAGCAGCTAAAAAAAAAGCCCTTTCCCTTAAATCCTGATTGTTTTCACTATGACTTCATCAGTCTAAACACGCAGAAATGAGTCACCTTTTGAAAAAACAGAAGAACCGTGTAGTTAACAAGTCCTGTTGATTTCAGTTTTATGTTCCCATGGTCTATGTGCACCTGCTGACCACTGTTGGGGTTGGGGTGACGTTTGAGTGGCAGAAGGTGAATGAGTTTGTGGTCTTTTGTTTGTATTGGTGCATCTCCAATATTTTTTTCATTTCAGGCTATGCTGGGCAATAACGACATCCTCTGTGATCTCTGATTCTTCTGGAAGGACGGCGACCTATGACGTTTGGAGATATAAAAGGCTCATTCTAAGGTAACAAAAACAATTATTATTTTCAGGTGATTATACATTAATGAAAACACAGTTTTGCATATTATATTTAATGTCTACCCCATTCTGTAAATTCAGCCCTCTAAATCGCACACACTGGACCTTTTACAAATAATGTGAATAGCCAAACTTCAGATTAGTGCTATGGCTTGAAATGTGAATTTAGCCTTTAAGGCCCTGAAACTGCAAATGTGATCAAGCTTGGCTGTGGAAGTAAATTTGATTTGAATTAGCCATTTTACACAAAAGACAATTTCAAATATTAACTTAATTACCCATTGATTCAATGTATTTCTTTTCAATGTAATTTATGCATATACACATCACATAAATGACACGTTCTGGAGGAAAGCTCCAGTGCAACGCTACATGCAGACCCACACACAAAAGACACACACACTTTCATCGTGTCAGTGGGATGCAGAAAAACTGCAGCAGGGAGACCATCTGTGTATTACACTGGTCCAAAACAAGCATTTCAACGCAGGCTTAGTGCTGACCAGATAATACGTGACAGGTACGAGGGTGCCTCTCTGGAGTGTGTTTGTGTGCTACTGGGGCGGTCACCCTCAGTGAAACTGTATGTTATGCTACTACCAAGAACTGTAGGTGAATTTAGATGAGGAAAAGGTTTAATTGAGTGTCTGATTCTGTACCTGGGAGAGTTTGTTGATATTACTGAGGATTAAGGATAGAATACTCGTTGGGGCAAACTTCTCCCCCATGGTTGATTCTGTAAAATATGCAGAAAAATGCCAGTATAAGCCAATGACACTAATCCAGCCCTACGTAATTTACACTGGTAAGGACAAGAAATAGATGTGGTGGAAAGATTTTGAGGTGAACTGCAGCATTTGCCAGAAACATGTGCAGGGTCGTGTTGAGCAGACAGCCTCTCTGTAATACACGGCTGTAACTCTGCCTCCCTGACCAATTTTGTCATTTAAGGCCTGGAGCTGAAGGCATACTTTCATGCTCTATCCCTCAATTTATTTTCAAAGCTTTATTTCCTGGAGCCGCCTTGCAAATGGTGTGCTGCTGGTACAGTACATGCTTCCATGCCCACCCGTGCCAAGAATGTGTAGGAATCTCCCTGATCTAGACGAACAGCCAGAAAATATCCTTCCAGGGAAAAGAAGAGATTGCAACATGTATGCTGCAATCCTGTTGCAATCCTTTCTTTTTGTCTGATATCTTATTATCACTGGGCTCAAAAATAAGGGCTACTATTTTTCACCTGTGTATTAAGGCTGCAGTTATAGGCTGTGTGTATATAATGCAGTCTGCGCATTGCAAGGCAGTTTGTGTACATATTATTGTTGCTTTATTCCAATAATTTGCAGGAAGTACATAAATAAATCAGTGTTTGCTCCCATAATATAATTACCACTATCATAGATAAGTACTAATCCCCAAAAAGCCGCCATCAGTGACACTTTGTTCACACAGACAAGCTGGATGGACTTTATTTACATACTCACCTAAACAACGGCCTTCAAACAAGATTACTAAGTAGACTTAACATTTATGGCTGAGGAAATAACTACACCAAGAGCACTTTGTTTGCAGCCAGAGCAGATGACCTAATATGGAGCCGGAATTGAGCCGAGAATCATTTTTCGAGTCATATGCCTCATAGACAAGATTATTCAAATGTTGTGTCTGACTGCCAAAGAGCTCTGCATGAAAATAATAATACCCTTGTGACAACCACTCTATCCCTGGCAGCAGCGCAGCTTGTAACCTCTGATAATTATATTGAGAGCCCAACAGTAATGACAACCCTCCAATACCACAGAAAGAAAAGACTTTCCTCTTAAAGCAGCAGTGGTCAAACAGTAAATCCGCTGCTTTCTGAAAGGCGCACATGAGATAATGCTTTGTGAAGCATGCGGTTGCCACAGGCTATATCAGCTTGGAAAGGACCGTCTTATCCCTCCCACTGGGCAGTACCTTGGGAAATGTGACTCTTCTGTGTGGTGTGGTCAGGATGCAGAGAGAGTAAGAAAGTAAAACAAACACACTATGCAATGTCCTCACCCTGTAATAAACCTGTAGCTTTGCCGTGCAATGTTCAATTTTCATTTTTTTTTGGAGGTGGAAAAGATCTCACTACACAGTTTCTAAAACGTGTAAAATATTGGTGGAAACAGCAAACATAAACCAAAGTGCTGAGCCTGCTATTATAAACAGCCTCTCCCTCCCCTTGTCACACACACTCACACTCACACTCTCTCTCTCTCTCTCTCTCTCGCCTCTGGTTGTTGGTGGGGCTTCCACATCAAACATGCACTGCGATAGAGGAGTTTGTACTTTATACCCTGGCAAACACGAGCCACGCGCTTTATGAACAAATAATGGGATGTACACTGAGACAAGCATGGAGTTGCTATTTCATGCTGGGTTTGTTTGAACAGCTGCTAACCCACTTTCTGTTCTCATTCTGTGGAAACTGAACCCTGAAATTGAATTTTTTTTTTACAAATAAATAATAGGTGCTATACTTGCTGAACTACCTCATTATATGCAAATGGAATCTGATTGGAGTTTTGTGCACACTGCAGCAGTATGAACTGTATTATGTCACTGGACCATAGCATATTAGGATTGTTTTACAATGTCAGAAAATGTCCCACTGTGGTGCTGCGTTTTGGGAAAATGGTAGGCTACACAAGCCAAAAATAATCCTTAAAGCCAGCCAAGTGGAAAGTCAGTCAGGGAATTATGGAGATGATTGGCAATCTAATGATAACACCCAGTCAGACTGACTACATCTCACAACCTTAGGATCCATCCGCACTAAAGGTGCCCTTTTCCCTCTAATGTTTCCGCTGACTGCATCCAGATCTAACACATGATGATGCTTTTCACTTATCATTAATCCTAAACTACAGCAGTCACTGGAAGCCACTAAAATCATAGGTTTGTTTAATGTTTATCAAGCACATGTGAAATGCTGATGAAGGAATATAACGCTGTCACATTGCCTGGTGCATATGTTAGGAATGGCTTTAGACGAGATTATTAAAAAAAAGTTTGATTAAAGCCATGTTATTATCTTAAGTGTATCGCCTCAGTGTCTATAGTTTGAGTCTGGGTTATGTGAACTCTTACCAGAGGACACAGATGAACCTGAGAGGCTGGAGTTACTGGATGCTGCCATCCCAACCCGTTTCACGGCTCGGTTACTCCCGTTTGGCCAAGGTGCGCTCCCAGCAGCTCCCCGGCGGTGCGTCCATTTCACTCACGTCCCAATGTGCTTCACCTTTGACCACTCTGCCGGTGACTATTTCATGCCTCGCCTCGAGTCCCGAGCACCGAGCCCACCAGCCGTCTGTCTGAGTCCGCCGATCGTTCCCCTTTGGCTGGCCGTGCGCCTCGGTGAGGAGCTCACGCTGCCGCATACACTGAAGGTGCCGCCGCCACAGATTAAAAATAGCCAGAGACCAAGCTACAGGAAAGACACTCCGGTTTCTCTAAAGCAGTTCCTGACACTGAGCAGGCAGAATCTGTAGGTCTACATTTGTGCCATGTAGAAATCAGCTATGGTTTCCATGTGTCACTTTAAGGACTGTAATAAACACACTACACTGCAGCGTAGACGCGCCTTCTTAAAGTGAAAGTTTGGAGCAGGGTTGCCAGATGTAAGCAACCCCGACTGGCACAAGAAGCCCAAAACAAGCCGACTTTTAGTTCTGCCTGCAGGATCCCAAACAGACGTTAAAGCCACGGTTATATGAGATGCATGCAAAGGCCCCAACTGGTTAAACCACATTATTCCAGCTTTGGCATTGCATGTTTTCAGATGTGATGTTGTGTCATGTTATGTTGAAAGAGCCAGAATGAATGTGGTGCGGCTGCTTTCCCACTTTTCCATGGGATCACAGACTACAGAAAAGATGGATGTAGTGTCTGTGTGACATTACAGATTTTGAAGGGGCCAGTTTTTTCCTCACTTGCATATTTATGTCTTTGTCCTTCTTTCATTTAATCTTTTTATGTTGAGCAACAGCTTGGGTTGGTTTATTTTGCTTGTGACCAACAGGTTGCCGGTTGAATCCCTGCTGTATCACAATAAATCAGTCATGATAAGCACTCCCTTCTCTGTCATTACTGCTGAGATGCACTTAGGAAATGTTTTCCACCAAGACAGGCTTAACAGTAGGTTAAATCAGCTGTTAATACACAGCTTTGTAAGCAGCAGGCAAGTGTGTTGCAGCCCCCTCTTCCTCACCTGTTCACCTGAGCTGTTTCTTTACAGTCCATAATCTTCTTCCCAGCTGAGAGTAGCATCCTCATTTCCATTGTGCACTGCACTGTAGAACAAAAGTGTCACACTCAGCAATTAAGTGATATAATGGTATTAATACGACAGAGTTGTCAGTCAGCTTATTTTGGTGTTCCTCTGCCCCCTAGTGGCAAAAAATGACTAACTGCAGTTTTAAAAATCCCAGCATTTGTATTAGAATCAGTGTTTGAGTTAGGTGCTGATGGACACTAATAGCTTTTTTTAAGGTAAGCATAGCAGAAATGTTAACAGGTAGGTACTTACAGACCTCACAGAGGATGTTATGACATGTCACAAAGAAAGAAAGCACAGGTGTAAATAATAATAAAATGAATGATGGCTGAATTCCATTTAGCTGCTGGGGTTCTGGTTTTGGCTCACTGTCACAGCTTTACTGGGACACTTGAACTGAACGGAGCCATATGTTATTAGTGCTTTTTCTATCATGACAAGTTAAAATATCTGCTGTGAAAATGACCTATAATATGAGTGATTTTAGTATATATTGTAGCATTTTAAAAACTGCAGCAATCAATTTTAGGCCACTGGATGACAGACACACAGGTCTCAACCAATTAAGACATCCAGCATGGAGCCAAATGATCATCCCACTAAAGTTATGTTTCTGGCCACCTGATGAACCCAAATCCATTACTCAGCAGTATTTTCACTCTTGTTCGGTCTCCACCAACTCCCGAAAAATATACTTTTACCTAATATTTTTTACTTTCTTCCTCAGATGGTTGCTAATCTCGGCTGACTTATGGTGCTGAGTAGGAAGAATACAATGGACTCAAAAAATTAAATAATACAATACACTTATAGAGGAGAAAACACACTTGTGCAAACTGTGCATCTTTAATGTGTGGCAATGTTGAGCTGAGATCTGATTGGTGATAATGTCTTTACCCACATTTGTAGTTTTCGAGATGAAAGTAAAAATCAAACTAGTAATGTAGTGTCCCAGGTTTTTATGCTTCATAATTATATGATTTTAGTTGTGCTGAACAGGTGTGTGCTGGAATTAAACTGTGAATATAACATCACTATTTATGGTAATGTATTTATTACTGTATTGATTTGTTTTGAGAACCATCTCAAAACCACTTTATTTCCCCAGTTGTATTGTAGGTGATTCAGCAATGAAAAAGTAACAGATTTTTGTTGTTAAGCTACTTCATTTAGCCATTTTCTTCTTTGTGAAGATACACTGCAGGCTAAAATATCTCTTCAAGACAAAAAAGTAGCATTATATCCCTCTAAAATGGTCTTCTTAATCGTAGCCTGTAGTATAACAGACCTACATAATGATACAGTAATACTGTGCAGTCTGTGCTTCTTAATTGTAAACTGTGTATCCCATTTCTTTGACTAGTTCTTCTTAACAACAGCTAGCTAAAACCAGCCTTATTGCTAGGCTCCTTTTAAACACCCCGTTTACTCACCATATCAGACAAGCCTACTCTGAAATCATTTCAGTGGCTGTCTTAGAAAACCTTCCTCCATCTTCACATGTCTGCAACTTCACGTCAGTTCAGACCAGACGCCTGGAGTCTCCTGCAAGACCACGTCGAGGGTCGAAACACCCTCAGAGCAGCGCGACGGCCACGTGATCTAACGTATCACATGACCTACGCAGAGCTGATCATGTGACTCACCCTTACAGGTTTGCACTTTCTCTAGTCAGTCCGCGGCTGTCCGACCTAAAGTCGTCTCTCTGATTGAAGGCTGACTTTTCTCCCGTTGCCATAGAAACGACATTGAACATGAGGTGAGTTTTAACAAAGTAAAAGTTGTTCTTCTTTTAACGTTAACTTAACCTGCGCTCAGACACGTGATATGCTTGTGGACGGATTGTTTTGAAATCTGAATGACTTGCAATGTTTGAGGTTCACACATCACTGACCCGGCCTGTAGTCTGATATGGATTTCATAGTATTGTGTTTTATATTGGCAGGCTGTGGAGGGAGACTCTGGGTTTCCTGTTACTGTGGGCCTGTCTGGACTCTGCACACTCAAAGAGCTGCTCCTCGTTTTTCTGCCGAAAGTCTCACCGTGTCAGCGGCCTGAATGGAGTCGACCCCGGGTCTCCTCTCTTTCTCACTCCCTACCTGGAGAAGGGCGCCATAGATGAAGGTATAAGTGCCATAATACTAAGTAGTATGTAAGGTTCCTTCACATGAGCCACCAATCAGACATCTTCTCTCTTTTCCAGCCAGGAAACTGAGTCTGGTAGGAGATCTGCCAGGTGCCAGTGTCAAGAGTTATGCCGGGTACCTCACTGTCAACAAAAAATACAACAGCAACCTCTTCTTCTGGTTCTTCCCTGCAATGATGGTAGGCTCAAACTTCTTCTTTCCAACAGGGGCTTTCCAAATGACAGACTCACATTACAGTCAGTGCTGCAGTCGGGGAGAGGCATTTTGAGTTATTGTCATTTTGGGGCGCCTGTTTCCTTTGGAACTTGATTGTACTCCAGGTATTTAACCGCGCTCCCTCAGTCAACTTGATACGTGATAAGGAATTGCATGGTGTGTGTTATAGTCAGCTGCTGTATGGGATGGGAATGCCAGTTATGATGGTGAACTTTGCTTTGTGATAAAAGTCACATTTTCTTTCAACCAAAGTCTTACAGAAGCATTTTCCAAAGGTTTTTTTTTTTTTTTTCCTTAAAGTTATAAATCAGTAACCAAGTCCCATATCTGTGTCTGTATTTCATACTTCAGTGTAATAATGTTGCATGCCACCTCCACGACTGACACTGAATGAAAGATCAGTGTTACAGCCTCACAGAATATTTGTTTTTTTTATTAAACTTCACATTATAGTGCATGGCGTTTACGTTTATCCCCCTCAAAAATAACTCTGCATTCAGTCCAACAAGCTTGTGTGGCAGCTACCATTAGAGTCTGTGTTTACAAGTATACATACTGTATGAGTTAACCCCCCACACACATATTTAAGCACATTACCAAGGCGCCTTTTTGAAAGATTTAAGGCTTGTTGTTTGTAAAACGTACAGTCCTTACCCCCCGAGACTGTAGCTGAAGCACTACAACTCTGTAAATAAGGCTCATTCATATTTTGAACTTGTGAAATGATGTTCACAAACAATATCACAGCCTGCAGATGTAGTGCACAAAAATTGAATAAAGTCTTTGTATCTGTAGAAATATGTTATTAATAAACTAAAGTGACCACTGGGTGGTGTTGAGAGCTTAACCTTCTGCATGCTGTGCACTGACTGACAGGCGGACCAGGATAAAGCTCCAGTCCTGCTGTGGCTGCAAGGCGGACCCGGTGGCACCTCTATGTTCGGTCTCTTTGTGGAACATGGACCATATGTGGTGTATAAGAACTTGACTGGTGAGACTGAGTGATGTGGTACTACAGCAGCATACCTAAACATGTACTGTAATTCTTATTTAAGCTATTAATCGTGAGCCCTGTATTGTTAGAGCATGTTTTTGCTTTTCTGATCTTCTCATATTTTTTTGTCTCTTCAGTTGGTTTGAGGGATTACGCTTGGACATCAAGATATTCAGTTTTGTACATTGACAATCCAGTATGTATTACACATATATCTTCAAAAAGAAAGCAACAAAAAAGCCACAAAATAATTTTTATTAACCAAATATTATATCAACAGCTCATCAGCGTGTTAAATGTGCCCGAATAATCTAAGTCTTTAACTCTTTTTTTTCTAGGTTGGAACAGGTTTCAGCTTCACTGATGATGACAGAGGTTTTGCTCAGAACCAGGATGATGTAGGCAGAGATCTGTACAGGTAAAACACTGCCATCCAACTCAAACATAGTATTGTTGTCACTTTGGTCTTTTTAAAGGTTATTTATACAAAATTCACTTCCCACTAGATGTTGCACTAGAGTACAACAATCATTGATGCTGGTTTGGTTAAAATAAACCCTTAATTAGTATGGGGATAATGGAAGCAGAGTTAGTAAGAACCGAACGGCATCAGACCGAGTAACACGTTGAGGATTGAAGGAACAGGTTAATTATAAGATAATGAGTCATGTTGATTTGTGACATGGTGTGACATTCTCTTTTTCCTGTGTGTCTTTTTATGTAGCCATTTGCTGTTTCGTCGTTTTAGTGTTGGGTAGTGTAGTGGAGTATCACTTGTTGCTTTGTGGTAGGACAGAAGGCGTGTTGGCAGAGGGGTATGATGTGTTGAGGCGGAGTTGGGGGGTAGAATGAGGGGAGGGTTGGAT